TAAGTTCTTTAGTTCTGCCCCTTTCCCCAGGGTTCTGGGAGGGAAAATAAAGCTTTTAGTTCAGTCTTACAGTTTAGAAGCTCAGTTACAGGACGTGAGAGCTTTCCCCACCTGTAGAGAAGCTCCGTTTCTTACAAAGCTCCGGGGGAAAATAGTCCCAAAGCTTCTGGGGAAGACAGTTCTCAAAGCTCTGGCTGGGGAACTTACAGCCTCACAGCTCTACAAGCCTCTGGGGAAGACAGCCCTAAAGCTTCTGAAGAAAACAGTTTTACAGATCCAAAGGTCTCCAGCTGGAAAATCTCTAAAGTTTTGGCCAGTAAGGTTTACTCGGGTACCCAAAAAGCAAATTGGAACCGGGAGTAAGGCCCCACGCCAGCCAGCCTAAAGACAGATTGCCCAGGGAGGGGTCGGAGGGTTTTCCTTGTAAAAGAAAGAAATAGTTCACAAAGCAAGCTGCCTGTCCTTTGTGGGCAAGTTAAGAAGAATGTGTGTGTTTTGTTGAAGATCTAAGCAATAATAAAGAACTTTGTTAAACTTTCCAAGTTTCTAAAAACTTTGTTAAGGAAAATCCATAGGGCCTCTCAGCCAAGGCACCCCGGCGTCCAGCTGGGCACAAAGAGCACGTTCTGTTTTAAAAGACAATTGCTATAGGCCCAGAGCGTGTCAGCATAATAATAATAATAATAATAATAATAATAATAATAATAATGTATAATAATAATAATAATAATAATAATAATAAGTAGTAGTAGTAGTAGTAGTAGTAGTAGTAGTAGTGGTAGTAGTAAACTAACTGTTGAAGGCTTTCATGGCTGGAATCACTAGGTTCTTGTAGGTTTTTTCGGGCTATAGGGCCATGTTCTAGAGGCATTTCTCCTGACGTTTCGCCTGCATCTATGGCAAGCATCCTCAGAGGTAGTGAGGTCTGTTGGAAATAGGAAAATGGGTTTATATATCTGTGGAATGACTGGGGTGGGGCAAAGAGCTCTCTGCTGAAGCTAGGTGTGAATGTTTCAGATGACCACCTTCATTAGCATTTGAAGGCTTGGCTGAGCCTGGGAAAATGTTCTGTTGAGAGGTGTTAAGATGTGCCTGGTTGTTTCCTCTCTGCTGTTTTGCTGTAGTAATTTTAGAGTTTTTTAATACTGGTAGCCAGATTTTGTTCATTTTCATGGTTTCCTCCTTTCTGTTGAAATTGTCCACATGCTTGTGGATTTCAATGGCTTCTCTGTGTAGTCTGACATGGTGGTTGTGAGAGTGGTCCAGCATTTCTGTGTTCTCAAATAATATGATGTGTCCAGGTTGGTTCATCACTGCTATGGCTGACTTCTCTGGTTGAGAAGTTTGCAGTGCCTTTCATGTTCTGCCGTATACCATGCAGCTGCGGTCAAGTCTACATAGGGACCACCAAGCGCACCACGAATCAAGGAACATAAAAGGCACTGCAGACTAGCTCAACCAGAGAATCAGCCATAGCAGAGCACTTGGTGAACCAACCTGGACACAACATATTATTTGCGAACATAGAAATGCTGGATCACTCAACAACCACCATGTCAGACTACACAGAGAAGCCATTGAAATCCACAAGCATGTAGACAATTTCAACAGAAAGGAGGAGACCATGAAAATGAACAAAATCTGGCTACCAGTATTAAAAAACTCTAAAATTACTACAGCAAAACAGCAGAGAGGAAACAACCAGGCACATCTTAACACCTCTCAACAGAACATTTTCCCAGGCTCAGCCAGGCCTTCAAATGCTAATGAAGGTGGTCAGCTGAAACATTCACACCTAGCTTCAGCAGAGAGCTCTTTGCCCCACCCCAGTCATTCCACAGATATATAAACCCATTGTCCTATTTCCAACAGACCTCACTACCTCTGAGGATGCTTGCCATAGATGCAGGCGAAACGTCAGGAGAAATGCCTCTAGAACATGGCCCTATAGCCCGAAAAAACCTACAAGAACCTAGTAAACTAACTGTTTGGACTTATTCGCCATAAAATTGACATGTTTGCAGAGAAAACGACTTTTCTGCACGAGTGAAACTGTCTCTGTAAGTCAGGTTGGAAAAAAGGCAGCCCTCCAACCGTTGCTGGATCACAGCTCCAAGCAACGACTATACTACCTGATGGGAGTTGCAGCCCAACATCTCAAGATGTACACGATTCTTATTCTGATTTAGGCCTTAAGTATGTCACAGATATGTCATTGCTTTTTTGAAGGTGTGTCCTTTGCGCAATGAGTTTTAAATTGCAAGATGGGTTGAATCACATCCCTCCTTTTTTTTTCTTGGACTGTTCTGATCATTCTCAAAGCCTGTCCACTTACAATTTTCTGTGTAACAGTGACATCCAGTGGCAATCTCTTGAGTGTAGAAAGCAATGCAGAAATGCAATTGCTATGTCACCAATATCATCTCCGTTATCTTGGTTGCGTAGTCAATCAGATGTTATGACTGGAATGTGGGAATTTCATGCACAGTTTGATCCCCGTATTTGCGAAAATTTCATCTCTGTATCTGCAAGATCAAATGCCAGGGAATACATTCATAGAATCATAGAATCAAAGAGTTGGAAGAGACCTCATGGGCCATCCAGTCCAACCCCCTGCCAAGAAGCAGGAATATTGCATTCAAATCACCCCTGACAGATGGCCATCCAGCCTCTGTTTAAAAGCTTCCAAAGAAGGAGCCTCCACCACACTCCGGGGCAGAGAGTTCCACTGCTGAACGGTTCTCACAGACAGGAAGTTCTTCCTCATTTCAGGATTTCACTTGGATGCTCAAAACTGCAGATACAAGTGGAAATATCCCTTATCCATAAATCTCTGGGACCAGAAGTGTTCTGGATTTTGGATGTGTGGTTGGGATTTTTGAATATAGTTTCATAATAAGACCTATAGGCAAATATAGGTCTTATATACAAATATATACAATGGCTTCAAACTGCAAGAAAGGAGATTCCATCTGAACATGAGGAAGAACTTCTTGACTGTGAGAGCCATTCAGCAGTGGAACTCTCTGCCCCGGAGTGTGGTGGAGGCTCCTTCTTTGGAAGCTTTTAAACAGAGGCTGGATGGCCATCTGTCAGGAGTGCTTTGAATGCAATATTCCTGCTTCTTGGCAGGGGGTTAGACTGGATGGCCCATGAGGTCTCTTCCAACTCTATGATTCTGTAGGTACCTTGGAGATGGGACACAGGTCTAAGAATGAAATCCATTTCTGCTTCATACACATCCTCAGAAGTCGATGAAAAAATGTATTTGAGGGTGACATAAGATTGGAGCAACGTTGTGGCATATTTCTGTGCGTTTTCACACATTCCAGGAAATGTCTGTATCAGTCAGGGCCAGGTACCACCTTCCAACAAAGGATCCCCTCAGGCAGCAACCAGCCAGTCTTTGAAGCTGCAAGGCCATTAAATTCTAATCAAGGTGGCCAATTGCAACATTCACACTTGCCTCAAGCCGACAATAATTCTTTTTCCCACCCTGGACATTTCTCAGATATATCATCCCCACTTGCCTAGTTTCCAACAGACCTCACAACCTCTGAGGATGCCTGCCATAGTTGTGGGTAAAATGTCAGGAGAGAACGCTTCTGGAACATGGTTAGACAGCCTGGAAAATTCACATCAGTCCAGTGATTCTGGTCATGAAAGCTGTTGGCAACAGAATTTTTGTATGGTTTAGCTGCCTTGGATCCCTTCTTGAGAGAAAAGCAGGGTGTGTATACAATAAATGAATTAATTCATTTGATATAGTCTGAAAAGAACTTCCTAACTGTGAGAGCCATTCAGCAGTGGAACTCTCTGCCCCGGAGTGTGGTGGAGGCTCCTTCTTTGGAAGCTTTTAAACAGAGGCTGGATGGCCATCTGTCAGGGGTGATTTGAATGCAATATTCCTGCTTCTTGGCAGGGGTTGGACTGGATGGCCCATGAGGTCTCTTCCAACTCTTTGATTCTATGATTCTAATAAACTTTTTTCCCATTTTTGTGATAGAAGTAATTGAGAAATGACATTTATAGCCCAGGAAAAAAATCGTATTACATAGTGAAATAACTGTATTGACTGGGGGTTGGACTGGATGGCCCACAAGGTCTCTCCCAACTCTATGATTCTTCCAGGAGTGGTTTTCCTTTCTGAGGAGTAGATTTTTCTCACTTCCTGTTGTCTTAACTGTGGTGTCCAATTCTGGGCACCACAATTCAAGAGAGAATGTGTCCAGAGGAGAGCGACTAAAATGATAAAGGGTCTGGAGAACAAGCCCTATGAGGAGCGGCTTAAGGAGCTGGGCATGTTTAGCCTGAAGAAGGCTGAGAGGGGACATGATAGCCATGTATAAATATGTGAGAGGAAGCCACAGGGAGGAGGGAGCAAGCTTGTTTTCTGCTGCCCTGGAGACTAGGACGCGGAACAATGGCTTCAAACTACAAGAGAGGAGATTCCATCTGAACATGAGGAAGAACTTCCTGACTGTGAGAGCCGTTCAGCAGTGGAACTCTCTGCCCGGAGTGTGGTGGAGGCTCCTTCTTTGGAAGCTTTTAAACAGAGGCTGGATGGCCATCTGTCAGGGGTGATTTGAATGCAATATTCCTGCTTCTTGGCAGGAGGGTTGGACTGGATGGCCCATGAGGTCTCTTCCAACTCTAGGATTCTATAATTCTAATAAACATTTCCCCATTTTTGTGATAGAAGTAATTGAGAAATGACATTTATAGCCCAGGAACAAAAATCGTGTTACATAGTGAAATAACTGTATTGACTAGGGGTTGGACTGGATGGCCCACAAGGTCTCTCCCAACTCTATGATTCTTCCAGGAGTGGTTTTCCTTTCTGAGGAGTAGATTTTTCTCACTTCCTGTTGTCTTAACTGTGAGTCACTTGTAAATCCGATCTTTGTAACTTGGAATGGCCTGTATGCATTATTATGTGACCATGAAACCAATACCTCCTGGAGCCATATTTTTATAATCTCTTCTTTTCCACCCTTTAGGAAGTTCTACTACATCACCATCCTGAGGGACCCTGTCTCCCGCTACTTGAGCGAGTGGCGCCACGTCCAGCGAGGTGCAACCTGGAAGGCCTCCTTGCACGTCTGTGACGGGCGCTCACCAACGTCCGAAGAACTCCCCAGCTGCTACTCTGGGGACGACTGGTCGGGCTGCTCCCTCCAGGAGTTCATGGATTGCCCCTACAACTTGGCCAACAACCGCCAGGTCCGCATGCTGGCTGACCTCAGTTTGGTGGGCTGCTACAACCTGTCCGTCATGCCGGAAGAGGAGCGCAACCAAGTCCTGCTGGACAGCGCCAAGGAGAACCTGAAGCACATGGCCTTCTTTGGCCTGACGGAGTTCCAGCGCAAGACCCAGTACCTCTTTGAGAAGACCTTCAACATGAGCTTCATCGCGCCCTTCACGCAGTTCAACAGCACCAGAGCCTCCAGCGTTGACATCGACGAGACCACCCAGGCGCGCATCGAGGCTCTTAATTTTCTAGACGTGGCGCTGTACGATTACGCCAAAGACCTCTTCTTGCAGCGGTACCAGTTCACGCGGCAGAAGGAGCACCAGGAGGCCCGGCGGAAGCGCCAAGAGCAGCGGAAGATGGGCAGGGCCAGGCTGAGCCACGCCAAGGAAGCAGAGGGCACCAACTCCACAGATTACGCCACCAACGTGGAGCTGTGGCGATAATAAGAGCTGAAAGACTCTCTTTTTTAAAAAATAAGGTTAAATTTAGCAGAGTCCCGATTGGAAAGCCGAAAGAGAACGAACTGCAAGGTTGAACTCTGAACTCTGTTCCTTTGAGGGTTCGAGGGATGCGAGGAGTTGTGTTGTGGCCTTTGCGGATGCTTTTTGGAATCCAGTGTCATCCTCTTGTGTGGGTTAAAAGCATAGAGGGAAAAGTTACCCTATAAGATGGAGGAGCTAAATAAAAACCCCTGTTTTTGCGGTTAGGAATTATTGCTGGGATGAAATAATGGGAAATTATGAAGGATTTGAGACCTTTGAGATGCCATAGTATCAGAGGCTGGCATCGTGTTAGGAATATACATAAGCATGTGTCTTTTTCTGGTCATTGCTGAAATAGGTATTCTGTACCTCCCGGTACAGGACTGAAGACCAACAGGTCGCAGGTTCGAATCCGGGGAGAGGCAGATGAGCTCCCTCTGTCAGCTCCAGCTTCTCATGCGGGGACATGAGAGAAGCCTCCCACAAGGATGATAAAACATCAAATCATCCGGGCATCCCCTGGGCAATGTCCTTGCAGACGATCAATTCTCTCACACCAGAAGCGACTTGCGGTTTCTCAAGTCTCTCCTAACACGACAAAAAAACCAAAAAATACCAATCTTTTGTTGAGAGGTGAAAATGAACAAAATCTGGCTACCAGTATTAAAAAACTCTAAAATTAAAACAGCAAAAAAGCAGAGGGAAAACAATCAGGGACATCTAATCACCTCTCAACAAAAGATTGCCCCCGTCACTGCCAGGACATCAAATGCTCATCAAGGTGATCAGTTGAAACATTCACACCTAGCTCCCGCAGACAAAAGTTCTTTGTCCCATCCTGGTCTTTCCACAGATATATAAACCCATTTTCCTAGTTCCAACAGGCCTCACCACCTCTGAGGATGCTTGCCATAGATGCAGGCGAAACATCAGGAGAGAATGCCTCTAGAACATGGCCCTATAGCCTGAAAAAACCTACAACAGCCCAGTGATACCGGCCATGAAAGCCTTCGACAATACAACTACTTGAGAAACTGCAAGTTACTTCTGGTGTGAAAGAATTGGCTGTCTGCAGGGACGTTGCCCAGGGGGCAGGCTTCTCTCATGTCCCCGAATGGGAAGCTGGAGCTGACAAATGGGAGCTCGCTCCATCGAGGATTTGAACCACTGACCTTCAGGTGAGCAGTTCAACCGGCACAAGGGTTCCATAGCCTGAACGTCTGGTATGAAAGTGACCCTAGGTAGGTGCTGATAGCCTGCCGACTTGGGCACCCCAGTCGAGTCTACACCAAACACCTCCTTGGTAAATATCCACAACATGGTGTTAAGCCCTTGAACCCATCCTGTTTGGCATCTCATTCTGGCTTGGAAAAGGCACCTGGCTATGTTCCAGTATCAAGTCATGAAATGATTACAACAGCACTGAATCTTCCAGAGGTCAGCGCAGTCATAATTGTGTTTCTGCTTCTGGGGAGATAGCTGGACATTTCTCCAATCCTACTTGCTCACTACAAGCCATGGAAAGACACTGGAGATGGGCAGCTTCATGGGTTTTGTAGTGAAATAGGGGATTGTTAGTATTGCAGAGGAAGAAAGGGGATGCCAGCCTCTTCAGTGCCCACAAAATGACATCCGCAGGCAGAAGAGACATTTCATCTAAGTCAGTGGTTCCCATCTTGTGGTCCGTGGACCACCAGTGGACCACAAGAAGGAAAATATGGTCCGCAGCCTCACCATTACTACACCGTTGCCTTGAAACCACATAGCAATGAGAGTGACTGGTCTCATGAAACTCTCTTGTAGTACTGAGGCAACGGGGATGTCGGGAGGGGAGAGGTTGTCTACCCACGAAAGATTACTATGACCACATCAGCTCTAGATTATTAAATATGGTTTTCTGATGGCAGATGGCGACTACTAGGTGACCTATGGTCTGTATCAGAAGCTAGATCTGATGTGGTGTATCCAATGCATTTTTCTGAATCAGCACCCCAAATAACCAAACCAAATCTAAAGTTGACCAAAAACTGATTCATAACCCTTTTGGTACTAATGTTGGAGAGAAATCCCTGGTCAACTTGATCCCTGGTCAAAAAGAGGTTGGGAACCACTGATCTAAGGGCTCTTCCAGACAGCCCTATATCCCAGGATCTGATCCCAGGTTTTCTGATTTAAACTGGATTATATGAGTCCGCACTACCAAATAAACAGAAAACCTGGGATCAGATCCTGGGATATAGGGACTGTCTGGAAGGGCCCTTAGTCCTTACAGTTTCATCTTGTTCAGTTTAGAAGTGTTGGCTGCTCCCATTTCCACCAGGCAATGGGTCCTTTACCACGTTTTAGTCCAAACTGTACATGAGCTATTCAAGGTGCTGAACCTTATAAGGTGATACGTTTCATTGACTTGGAAAGTTCCTTCAAAGTGCAAACCCAGAACACATGCGTCAACCCAGAAGCACCAGCTGCCATTGTTTTGTAAGCATAGCTACAGGACTACGCCATCTTGGCAGAGCCTAGAGATCAGTAGTTGGCAGACCACAGAGCTTTGGGGTCACTCAACCCTCAAAGTGACAACAACAGAGAGAAAATGAACCAAAATGCAATCCTTCAGCATATGACATGCAATTGACTTTCTTTCCAGGTGTTTTCTAGAATTGGGGCATGGATTATTTTCATTAAAACTGTGGATGTTTGGCCTCTTGCAAGCCATGGTCATCTCACTAGGTTCAATCAAGAGAAGGTCCAATTTGGCTTCCTTCCTTCCTTCCTCCCATCCTCCCTCCTTCCCTTCCCTTCCCTTCCCTCCCTCCCTTCCTTCCTTCCTTCCTTCCTTCCTTCCTCCCCCTCCCTCCTTCCCTTCCTTCCTTCCTCCAACCTCCCTCCTTCCCCTTCCTTCCTTCCTCCTCCTCCCTCCTTCCCTTACCTCCCTCCCTTCCTTCCTTCCTTCCTTCCTCCCTCCCTTTCTTCCTCCTACCTCCCTCCTTCCCTTCCTTCCTTCCTTCCTTCCTTCCTTCCTTCCTTCCTTCCTTCCTTCCTTCCTTCCTTCCTCCTCCTCCTTCCTTCCTTCCTTCCTTCCTCCCTCCTTCCCTTCCTCCCTCCTCCCCTCTTTCCTTCCTTCCTTCCTTCCTTCCTTCTTTCCTTCCTCCCCTTCCTTCCTTCCTTCCTTCCTTCCTTCCTTCCTCCCTCCTTCCCTTCCTCCCTTCCTTCCTCCTCCTTCCCCTTCCTCCCTCCCTTCTTTCTTCCTTCCTCCCTCCCTCCCTCTTTCCTTCCTTCCTTCCTTCCTTCCTTCCTTCCTTCTCTTTTTTCTTCCTCCCTCCTTCCTTCCTCCTTCCTTCCTCCTTCCCTCTTCCTTCCTCCCTCCCTTCCTCCCTTCCTTCCTTCCTCCCTCCTCCCCTTCCCTTCCTCCATCCCTTCCTTCCTTCCTCCCAACCTCCCTCCTTCCCCTCATTCCTTCCTTCCTTCCTCCCATCCTCCCCTTCCCCTCCCGACCTCCCTTTCTTCCTCCTTCCTCCCGTCCTCCCTCCTTCCTCCTTACCTACCTCCCTTCCTTCCCTCCTTCCTCTCCTTTCTTTCCCTTCCTTCTGTCTTGTTTTGGCATCAAGGAAACAGACCCAAAGGGCAAGGACTGGGTAAACCGTTGTGCTTGGATTGTGCAAATCTCTATGCAAAATAATAATAATATATATGTCCGGGAGATCACACATCTTGAGTTCTGCAGCTTTTTATACCCGGCGTTCTGGGACAAACAGAGGTTGGCTTCCGCTTCTGCGCTTGGTAGTGGCATTTCTAATGGCTTCCATTGCCGTAATGTAATTTTACTCCTCTTCAGCTTTGGGACGGCGGGCAATTGGGGAACTTGCCTCATTCTCAAGAACGAGAATCCCTTACATATCGGTTCTAAAGCAAATTCCATGAACGTCCTTGGGAGCAATACCCATTCAATTGGATTTGTTCCCAGGTGAGAAAGTGTAGCTGTGGGGCAGGCACAAAATGTAGCCCATGGGCATTGGGACCAACATGATGTTCAACGGTTTGGTCTATATCGGTTGAACCCAATGCCCTTTGGTTTACTTTGGATCCCCACTGCTACATAGATACGTATATGGAAAAAATTTGCAACCTTCACCATGATAAGTTTCCTGCATTTCCAAACTCTAGGAAAACTCAACCATTCTCAAAGTGAAGAAAGAATACTGTGGTTTTTCATGCAATGGTTTGTTTGAAATTTTATAAACTGCCAACCTGGCATTGCCAATGGGATTCATATATTATTTACCCCCATCCAGAGAGAAATAATTGGTTCTTGATTCTGAAAGGAACTATTTGCACAGGGCCCGCGTCCCATGCGAAGTCCCTTTGTCTGACGCTGGAGATGCAACCTTCTTTTTCTACTGCAGTGTGCATGGTTTACAAAAGCAAAAAACAAAAATAAGCCGCAGCATTGCTTTCCTTTTCTTTGTGTTATTCCTGTCCATTGTATATAGGGGATGTCTTATGATTCGGTTTTGTCATGACCATTCAGACCAGCTCTACCGATTTCCAGTATAGGCTGCTTATCTTCCTGTGTCGATTTACAACTGCAGAGAGGGAGGGAGGGAGCCGGCGGACTTGGATTGTGCCATTTAATAATAGAATCGAGTCAATAAAAACTTCAGTTACCGTCCTTGGCTGCATTCTGGTTCTTTGAAGAGCTTCCTTGCATTGCTTTTGGTGTTATTTATTTATTGTGTCATCAGCAACCATACCATTGTATTACATTTCTAACAGAACAAAACAAACACACAGATTAAAAAAACAACAACAACACAGATTTTGCAAACTTGGTAGTTGATTAAATGTCCTTTGATCAGTATCTGGCCACTTGGAGTGCCTCTGATGTTGCCGCAAAGAGGTCCTCCATTGTGCATGTGGCAGGGCTCAGGTTGCATTGCAGCAGGTGGTTAGTGGTTTGCTCTTCTCCACACTCGCATGCCGTGGATTCCACCTGTAGCCCCATTTCTTGAAGTTGGCTCTGCATCTCGTGGTGCCAGAGCGCAGTCTGTTCAGCGACTTCCAAGTCACCCAGGAGGGAGTCTCTCATCTGGTAGTAGCACCCAAGGATTGAGGTGCTGGGTTTGGGCCTGCCACTTTTAGAAACTCGCTTGCTGACGTGTTCCAGTGAGTGTCTCTGTAGATCTTAGAAAACTATGTCTTGATTTAAGTCGTTGACGTGCTGGCTGATACCCAAACGGGATGAGCTGGAGATGTCTCTGCCTTGGTCCTTTCACTATTGGCTGCTACTTCCCAACAGATGTTAGGTGGTGCAATATCGGCTAAGCAGCGTAATTTCTCCAGTGGTGTAGGGCGCAGACACCCCGTGATAATGCGGCATGTCTCATTAAGAGCCACATCTACTGTTTTAGTGTGGTGAGATGTGTTCCACACTGGGCATGCGTACTCAGCAGCAGAATAGCATAGTGCAAGGGCAGATGTCTTCACTGTGTCTGGTTGTGATCCCCAGGTTGTGCCAGTCAGCTTTCGTATGATGTTTCTAGCACCCACTTTTTGCTTGATGTTCAGGCAGTGCTTCTTGTAGGTCAGAGCACGGTCCAAAGTGACTCCCAGATATTTGGGTGTGTTGCAATGCTCCAGTGGGATTCCTTCCCAGGTGATCCTCAGAACTCGGGATGCTTGTCAGTTCTTAAGGTGAAAGGTGCATGTCTGTGTTTTAAATGGATTAGGGATCAGTTGGTTTTCCCTGTAATAGGCAGTAAGACCACCTAGAGCTTCGGAGAGCTTCTTTTCAACCATCTCAAAGCTCCCTGCTTGAGTGGTAATGGCGCGATAATCAGCATAGATGAAACTCTCTGTCCTTTCTGGCAGTGGCTGGTCATTTGTGTAGATGTTGAACATGGATGGAGCAAGCACGCTGCCCTGAGGCAGGCCATTCTTCTGTTTCCGCCATCTGTTTCTCTGGCCCTGGAACTCAACAAAAAAGCTCCTGTTTTGTAGCAGGTTTCCTATGAGGCAGGTGAGATGGTAGGCTTTTGGTGTTGGCTGCCATCAAGTCAACTCCAGGACATCTCTTGCAACTACAGTAGAGTCTCGCTTATCCAACATAAACGGATAAACGTCAGATAAACAAAAATGTCAGATAATACGGAATCTCCATCCGACGCGGAGCTAGACACCTAGAGTACTAACAACAAAGGGTTAAGGCAAGGCAATGCCTCGGGGCTAGAGCGGCCCAGCAGGAAGTGACTCAATGTGGAAGAGGAGCGTGGAAATCACAGAGGGAAGGAAGGAGGACACTGCTTCTGGTCCTGCCTCTTTTCCCCCTTCCCTTCGCCTACCTTCGTGACCGTATCTTGCTCCACATACCAACCTTTGTTCCTCAGGAGAGGTCCTCCTTTCGCCCCTACCAATCTCACAAGCTCGTCTTGTGGGCACAAGGGAGACAGCCTTCTCTTCTGTGGCCCCCCGACTTTGGAACGCTTTATTTGGGGAGATCAGGAAAGCCCCTTCACAGGAAACATTTAAAAAGAACCTCAAAACCTGGCTTTTCCGCTGCGCCTTTGGCGAGTAGGTGCACAGCATGATATTTTATATACCTCCTCAACGTTTTCGGCTAATGGAGTTCGTGCCCTCCAAATAGGATGTTCTGCCCCACAACTCTCTGTGTTTTATGAATTCCATTTAAACGTCCTGCTCCTATTTTATCTCATCATAGTCTGTTAATTGTCTTTTATTCGGAATATGTGGCTTGCCCATTGTCATCTCCATCGTGATTGTGTCTATTGGAATTTTTATTTTATTTTATTATTACTATTATTATTTTATTATTATTTTAATGTCATTTTGATAATGTTGTTGTTTGTCTGTTGTATATGCTTTGATTTCATTGCTGTATTATGTTGTCCGGGCTTGGCCCCATGTAAGCCGCTCCGAGTCCCCATCGGGGAGATGGTGGCGGGGTAGAAATAAAGATTATTATTATTATTATTATTATTATTATTATTATTATCATCATTATTATTATTATTCCCTCCCTCCTCCTCCTTCTCTTTGTCTTGCCTTTTTCATTTATTGGGAATGGAGAGAGAATTGGGGAGCGCTCCTGTAATTGAAGGGGAACTGCTGGAGGAAAAGGAGAGCCTGCCTTTCTTTCTCCCTTCTCTCTGTTTCCTACCAACTTTTCTTCCTTACTTCCCTCTCTGTTTCCTACCTCCTTCCTATTCTTCTTTCCTCTTTTTCCTACCTGCCTTTCTTTCTCACTTCTCTTTACTCCCTCTCTGTTTCCAACCTCCTTTTCTTCATTTTCTTCCCTCTCTTTTTCTTACCTGCCTTTCTCTCTCCCTTCTCTCTCCGTTTCCTACCTACTTTTCTTCCTTCCTTTCCTCTCTTTGTCCTATCTCCTTTTCTTTCTTTCTTTCTTTCTTTCTTTCTTTCTTTCTTTCTTTTTCTTTCTCCCTCTCCTCCTCCCTCCCTCTGTTTTGTGGGGAAAATAGAGGAAAAGAAAAGACAGTTAAGGAGCAAGAAGAGAGTAGCAGTGAGTCTAAAGTTTGGGACAGAGGTCGGGTAAATGACCTTTGTTGGCTGTAGGTTGAGGATCCCAAGATTTTTTTTCATGTCAGAAGTGACTTGAGAAACTGCAAGTCACTTCTGTTGTAAGGGAATTGGCTGTCTCCAAGGACGTTGCCCAGGAACGCCCATATGTTTTTACCATTCTGTGGGAAGCTTCTCTCATGTCCCCACATGGGAAGATGGAGCTGACAGACAGGAGCTCACCCCACACCCTAGATTCAAACAACCAACCTTTTGGTC